AGAGTGTGGAACAGTGGCTTGGCACCTGGTCAGCCCCTGCCTGCTGTGCACAGGCTTGGGCTGGGCTGCTGCTCTCCAAGCACTAGCAGGTAATACTAAAGCACAGGTGGGAGGACTTCGCCAGGGAGGCAGGACTGAGTAAGGGTGAACCTGCGCTCCCTTGGGTTCCTGGAAATGTGACTCAGCTGGCACTGATGGAGGCGAGCCCCTGAAGATCTTTATGGGAAACATAAAACCAGGTCTCTAGCCTCAAGAATAGCACTGAGAAGTGAGGAATGCTCCGATTTTGGGCCCAGCTCTGACTTTTACTAGCTGTGCTATGCTGAGCAAACTACTTCACCTTTCTGAGATTTTTCTTACCTCATAGGTAAGCATTAATGAGGACTGCCTTATTCTGTCAGGTGCTAAGCTAATTAAAGGATTCCTATAGATTAGGGTGGGAAGAATAAAAAGGCAGGAGGACTTACAAATCTGCTATTGTAGGAACGCAAATATTACATGCTGAAGGACAGGAGGAAGAGAAAGGAATGAAAGTGAGTGATATTTCACAGGAAGGAAAGGAGGAGGTGACAACTGAGCACAGGGACTGGAGGACAGAGAAGGGAAGAACTACAATTCTTAGTTATCATTTGTGGAACCCCCAGTGTGCCAGGAGCTCTGCTAAGAGCTGTGCGCATATTATCTCACGTGTGCGCTATCAAAGCCATGTAGTGTGGTTTTATTCTCATTTTACCTTGCATCTGGCAGGACAGAGGAGTTTAATGGAATTTGATGTCAGGGTGAGAGTAGAGTTTCAAAACAAATCAGAGGAGAATCAAGAGGTACAGGGATGGGTAGTAGGGGAAGATCTTCAACAAACCTAGGTTAATGCAATCAGGATGGAACAATCAGAAATAACATTTCTTTCCAACATGGGTTCCTTTCTTGAAATACACCAGTTTTGTTTACCTGTACTTATTTGCCCTTCCTGGAGAGTCCATTTCTGCCCTTCTTCTCCTGTCTTTTTCCTTTCTCTCTCTCTTCCCCCCCTTTCACCCCCCCCAACTACACACACACCCTGGGTCCCCTTTCCATCTTATTTCATGTCAATGTTTGGCTCTTTGTTGCTGACAAGATTGTCATGTTTAATATAGACATTGAAAACAAATTACATTTTCTGCCCATCGCCCACTCCTCCTTCCCTTTCTCCCTTCTTATTCTTCTCCCTCCTTTTCTTTCTTCCATAATCCTGTTCACTTTCCCTCATTCCTCTCCCTTCCTTTAGAATGGAACCAGCAAAAGTACCCCTGGCCCAGGAGGCCTTCCTAGCATTTTCAGTTAATGTTTGATACCACTAACCAACTGCTTAAAGGATCCCCCCACCCCCGCTTTTTTTTTTTTCCTCTTTAAACCAGGATCATGAGCTCATGCATCTGTTAAGAATCTGGCTGGGTTCGCAGCTCCAGTTACCAGGCCAGGCAGCTCCAGTTAAAGGCTCGACCCTGGAGCAAGACCTGCCCACCAAGGTAGACTCAGGTTCCAGGGGGAGGTTGGGGGCTGTCAGAGGAAGCAGGCAGGAGACAGTTGGCAGAGGCTAGAAGCCAGTGGATGTCAGGAATGTGGGGCAGCTGGTAGAAAAGACTCAGCCACAGGGTGGAAACTCAAGTACTTGCACCCCAGAATTCTAGACTCCAAGGGCCTGTGTCACCAGCAGGAGAAAAGGAGATAGAGACCCACTTACTGGAGCTGGGGGAACCAGACAGACCCTTGTTAGAAAGAAAAGATATCGGGTGCTAGGACCTAGCAACAAAGGCAGAGAAAGAACAAGGTCAGCAACAAGACCAATCTAAATACTCAAGATGAAGCTTCCCTGCTGATCTTGGGTTCCAGGGAGCCCCCTTATCATGGAGGACATTGTTGCCTGAGCATCTCAGACAGGGAGTGGGAGCTCTGCAACGATGGGCCCTCCAGGGCTTTGCCTTTTCCCATCTCTCTTCCTATGTCCTACTCTTCCTATGCCCTTAGGATTGCAGAGCCATCCCCACAGTAGTATGGGGAAACCCAAAGCACATCTACACAGAGGCAGGCAAGTACCCAGACTCCAAGCCATCTTGCCACAGATTGACACAATGAACAGACATTTGCCTGCATCCTCCTCCCCAGGTTTCCCCCATCCCTGAGGAGCCTGAACTTTTTACCCAGCTGTTTCCAAGGTTCCATAATATCCTTTTTCTAGCACCCCTTTCCTGTCTGCATGCTGCCTTTAAGAGCTTGCCTCTAGCTCCCAACTCAAGCTGTGCTGAGATAACTCTCTGGCCATCTGGAAGACTCCTTTCTGTATCGCCGTATCCTTCTATGGAACCTGGAATGCACTGTCCCCTGTGGCTCGAAGCTTCTCTAAAGGAGCTTCTGTCCATCTTTACCCCTACTTGGATCCCCTCACACGGCCATTCTGTACATCTGCCCCTTACAGGCCACATCAACACCACTGTATCTGAGCGTCATCAGCTGTTTGTGTGCTCCTGGGGAAGGTACTACACTATGACACAGCTTTGTTTAAGGAGGGATTACTTCCTCCTACCTCTTAAACTTTTCTCGTCTTTCACAGTTTATGGTTTCTCATTTTCACTATTGCTGTTTCTCCATATCCTCATAAAACATTCATTTCTTTTGGGACAGTCAAGTCTAAAATATCATTCCACAATCTCTTATTTGCAAATCTTAGCGTCAAAAGATTTTGGATCTTTGTTGTTTTGTTTTGTTTTTCCAACTTTGATGCCAAAACTCATCTGGTGACAAAACATAGTCTAAATTGATATGAAGCCACTTTACCTTCAAACCTACTTAGTATAAAAATTTCTACATTTCATTGCAGGAATATGAATGTGTCTGATTTAGACTCGCTGGTCCAAACCTCATGGGATGGTTCAACATGTCTGGTCCCTTTGTGAATTCTAAAATGCCCCTGGCTTTGAGGGTTTCAGAATGAACATAGAAGACTTAGAGGAATTAGGAATTACAGGATCAGAACTGCCCAGCCTATGGGGCTCCATCCTCACAAGTTCAAGTGCTGAAACGAGACTGCATTTTCTGAACAACTTTCTGGATAGAATGGCTGTCATTTCCTATTCCTCTGCCCTTTCCTGGCACCTCTGGTCTGTTGTACCCTCACCTGGCTAGCTGCAGGAAAGTGTGTGATCATTACAGAGTTGCTTTGTGCAGAGCACCTATTCACATCTGGATGGTTAATGCTGATAATTACCACACTGGTTACTAAATCTGTCAAGTTTAGGTGAGGTGAGCTCCACAGCTGGGGCTGCTGCTCACAGCTTCCCAGGCAGAGAGAAAGGTGAGAACAAAATCAAGAAAAATGTGCTCAGATGCTTGGGATTGAGTGAAACTGGTTAATTACCAGTCACTTGCTGTCTCCTCAAGTTGGAATCTCTGGCTAAGGAACGCTCATGAATCAGATAGAATCTGACAACCTGCAACTTATTTCCACACTAAGAGCCCAAGAACCAAGATGCGGAGGCCTACAGTGGAGACAGTGTCTTGGATGCCAGGCCCATACCACATAATGCAGATGCCGTTGGAACAGAGTGGTGGCATGATCCAGCAGCTAACTGATGCATGCTCACTGCTCTCCTTATGGAGAAAGCTCAGGATAAAAATGTGTCCTTGGAGGTAAAATCTATTTGCTGCCAGGTGAAAGGTCCTACTCTAGAGCCATAGATTAAGTTCTAATGATCCATGACACCACTCCCCAAATGCATGACCACATGTGCATGTGAGTAGTGCTTTTCCTGAGAACTAGAACCATAGCATATATCAGATTCCCAAAAGATGCAGAAGGGTCTTGATCCCCCCAAAAGGAGGATGATTATAAACCATTGTCCTAGGCTCCTAGAGAAACAGGTTGACAATTGGGCAGAGCCACCGGACTCATAGTCCCTAATGATACTATTACACTCCAGGAGTGAGTGAGTGAGTGTGTGTGTGTGTGTGTGTGTGAATATATATATATATATATATATATATATATATATATTCCGTAACTTTAGCCAGATTCTCAAAGAGGTCACAGCCCTTATAGAGTTAAGAGCATGAGCTTGGTGGCAGCTCAAAAAACTAAAAGATTTGTCTATACTTAGCTACTATTTTTCAAAGGAAGATCACAGAGACCTGAAAACAGGGCTGTACAAAGTACGGTACTGTACAAAGTACAGTAATTTTGTTCAATATCCAGGGGCTGGCTGGCAGGATCCTCCACAAAAGATCACACTGCAGTCATTCTAAGTCAAGTGTCCAGAAGCCAGGCTAGTGGGTGATGATCACAAAAGTCTCAGTAGATGGGAAAACAGTCCTAGCTCTTTCCCCCTCTGATTGCCGATTCCCAGGCCTTTCTCTTCGACAGCCCTCTGCTCCCAGTGTTCTGAAATCCGAAGCTTTTACGCGTGGAAGCTCAAAATTCATTCAGTACTTATTGGGTGCCTACTGTGTGCAAGGTTCTGTTTTATGTACAAAATAAGAGCCTTGCCTTCAGGATGTTATCCACCTATACCAGTTTCTCCCCCGACACGGGTATTTTGGGCGCTGCTGACCAAGCTCATTCTTTTCCGAGCTGAGTTTCCGCCCCCCCCGCCCCACCACACACACACACACACCCCATCACTACCTCGCGGCCCCTGGTCCGGAGAGGAAGAAGCCACCCCACCCACGCAGAAGGATGAGGGCGTGGAGGCATTAGCAGCACCCAAGGGCAAAGCTGTAGGGGGACAGAGCCGGTGGGCCAGGCCCAGCTCTGACACTAAGAGAGCGGGACTGGGTGCGGTGGAACCGGGCTGGTGGGGCGGAGAAGCCGCCGCGCCCTCTCTCGGGCCGTGCTCGTCCGCCCCCCTCCCCCCGCGCCTGCTCGGGCCGTCGCGAAGCTCTGCTCCCCATACTGAGCAGTCCCCGGGAGGCGCTGAGGCGCTCGGACACGTCCCCAGGCTGGATAAAGATCGGCTGGGCGCTAGCTCCGCAGCGCGAAATCTCGCCATCAGCGCAGCTCTGCGGCCGCTCCGGCCCGCCTGGAGACGCCAGATCGCTATCTTGTGGGGAGGGGGCACCACTGCTCCCGCCGCCACCCTCCGCCCTGCACGCGGGGCGGCTGCGGAGTCCTGGGGCTCGCCGCTGCTCCTAACCCCTTTGCATTCCTTCCTGGAGCTCTTTCCCGAGGGACCTCTGCTCCCCGCCGATCCCGGCCGCTAGCGCCCCGCCAGGCTCCCTCTTTCCTCTCGCCAGGCCCCGCTGCCTCCTGAAGGTTACGCGACGCAGCGGCGGGGCGCAGGGGGGCGCCCGCCCTCGCCGCTCACCCCCGCGCCAGCCGCGGCGCGGCGCGCGGGGCCAGCAACGCTGCTGGCTGCTGCCACCGCAATCCCGACTCCTAAATCAGCGCGGGGAGGCGCCCCTTCCCCCATCCGGCTCTCCGGGCTCCCCGGGCCGCGATTGGCCACGCGGGCGCCCCCCAACCCTGGGCCCCCAGCTCCAGCTGCCACGCCATTGGCTGCGGGCCTCCGCCAGCCTTTACATAAGCCCGGGCGCGCTCAAGTGGAGTTGTATAAAGCCAGCGCGCGGCGTCGGGGCGGGAGGCTCGAGGCCAGCCCGGGACCCGGACCGGGAGCTGCAGGCGGCGGCGGCGGTAGAGGCGGCAGTGAGCGCCCGCGCTCCGACGCCCCCAGGCGGCGGGGCTGAGAGAGCACGAGGATGGCTCCCAGCGCTGACCCGGGCGTGAGTAAACCAGCTCCGGAACCCCCACCCCCTCGGGCGGAGAAAGTTTCTCCAGCCTTATGGACCCCTCCCCATGCGCGCTTGGGGGTGGTGGGGCTGCCACCGGGAACCGGGGAAGACAGATCCCGAAGGCGGTGGCTTTACTGCCAACTTGCCGAGAGGCGCTAGACTCAATTGGCGCGCAAAGCCTCCCCCGCGGGCTGGGGGAGAGGTGGGCGCGGGGCTGGAGGTGGCTGAGAGGTGGGAACCGAGGTGTAGGGGCGACAACCCGCCACTGGCAGAAAAGGTGTTGGGGCGCACTGGAGGTCAGCTGTTTGAGGAGGGGACTCGGGGAGTGGGAGAGGGTGAAGCAGGTAAGAAAGGCTGTGCAGGGGGCTTGGGGAGTCGCTCAGCTGGGCAGGCTCAGCTTCTGGACGGGGCGGATACTGGCCTGGGCCGAGTGTTTAGCGTCCAGGCTGGGGAAGAGCCCCTGGAGAGCCAGCTTTTCTTCCCCTGGGAAGCCGAGCTCTCCCCTGCGCAGCGCTGGGCGGCAGGGAGCTCCGGGAACCAGCCCGCGCGCGGTGTAGCAGCCAGCCGCCTTTTGCTGGACCGAGGTGTGGTCTGGCTTTCAGGCTGTCTCAGGCAAGCCCGCTTTAGGCATTCCAGGAGGACCGGGGCCCCCTTGAGCGGCTGGAATCACATAGAGGTTTTGATGGGGCCGCAGGCTGGACTTGGGGGCATGCCCAGCAATGCAGCGTGCTTCTTTGCAGTACAGTAGTTGGGAACCCCGGTTAGCCCCGATTCCGCAGAAACCAACTCAAGAATCCAAAGTCATCCCAGCCAGGATGGGAACCTCCCTAGGGATGGGGGTGGGGGCTTCCTCCACGGATGACTAGTGTATCTTGTTGCTGCTAGTGGTGGGTTCACCTACTGTGGCTTTGGTGCATCCCTAGACGTGTTTCAGTTTTCCAACCAGGACACATTCTTGAGTTGCACTTGAGGCACCTTCTGGGATGGATGACAGGACTTCCCAAGTGAAGCCAGGTGGAAAAGAAGGCAGGGGATCTGGGAGGAGGGGGTAGCTCTATGGTGCTGACTCAGGTGTGAACTTGTGGGAAAACAAAAACTCTGAATGGGAGATTTTGAACCCTTACAACTTGGGCCGTGAAATACCCCAAACTAAATTACAGCAAATTTCGACAATCACACTGTGCTCCACTCCCAGCCACGGGGAAGGAGAGTGGAGGATGGAAAAGCAGGAACATGGCGACTGTTCCACTGTGACCCTTGAGGAAGCGTTTGCTCTCTTACTGACTTGGTTAAGCACATCTTTCTGGCAACAAGTCCTAAATCAGTTCCAGGGCAATGATAAGAGTTTAGGGGCTTGATGCTAGCATAGAGGGCCACAATTAGAATGCCCAATTTTAGTTGGTACTAATGGACTCTGGAGAAGGCCAAAGGTGTGTGATGGTTACCTGCTCTTGAGCTGTTCCATTGGGGCTGTGTCCTTCACCTTACTCCATTCCTGGACATAGGCTTGTGTTCAGACTCCGAGGATAACTGCCTCAGCCCGGAGATCTTTTATGGGAGCTAACCTCAGCTCCATTTTCTGTCTGCTTACAGTCAACATTTTTCTGGTGCGTTTCCCAAGACCACCTCTCCACTGGGGATTTGTGCAGTGAAATACCTGCTTGTTGCTCTTTCTTCCCTTTTCTCCATCTGGGCTGCACCTGCTGTTCTTCTCAACTCTGGTGTTTATTCCTTGGTGCCTTGGTGTTTGGTTAAGGCATCTTACGGCTGGCTACACAGTGGTGCTCCTGAGAGTGTGTGGACTTGTGTAATGCTAAGGGTGAAGCATAGACTTACAGAGATTAGACTGCCGACTAGGAGTAATTGTCTGTTAAACCAGGCTGTAACAGCCTGGGTTGGTTCTCAATGTTGCTTGCCAAGTTAGTGGAAGCTTAAAGGTAGAGCAAGTTCCTTGGTGTGCAGGAGGGGGCGCCAAAAGTACCTAGCTTAGGATCACTGACTTTCTTCTTGCCCTTCAATGGCCATAGTAGCTTAATGTTTAAGCAAGCCCAGACCACAGTCCCCAGCTGTCACTACTGTGATGGGAGCCTTTCTATCATATGCTTTCTGGACTTGAGGTGGTCCTGTGACCTCAGGTGCAAGGGGCCAGGTGCAAGCACTGCATTCCAAAGAGCCAGAGCTGTAGTCCCACGCACTCCCTGAGATCATTCCTTTGTGCTTCACGCTGGTGTATTCTTTGAACTCAGTAAGGGCTCAGAGAACCCAAAAACATGAGCAGAGAAAGGAGCCTTAGGAAGCATTTACCTCCAACTTCATCCTAGCCCCAACATTCGCATGTACATTTATATTACAGATGACAAAACTGAAGCCTGATAGTTTCTTGCCCAGGATTACATAGCTATTTGGTGGAAGAGATAGAACTAGATTCTAGAATTCCTAGTTGTCTATTCAGAGCTCTTTCCACTCTAATGAGGAGATGGATACATGTTCTCTATGTGGTAGGCACTGGTAATTACTGACCAGACTTTGCTAAATTAATAATTTCAGTAAACTTGGAGAAATTTCCTTTAAATTTGTATTGAGATAAAGATACAGATGGAGATAAAGTTTGTATAATATATATATACATATATATAGATCATTGAAATTCCTAATTATCCTTTCCTCTTCCTCCACTATCTTATTTCAAGCAGTCTTTTCAGCAAAAGCAGTGTAATTCCAAGCTTATGTCTACGCATTTAGAAATCAGGAGTGCCCAGGCTCTTGCCATGGTCTTGGAACCCAAGCCTGGAATTCTTCCTTTCCTGTGCCAAGATGAGATCTCTGTGGTCACTCCCTTGCTGGTGGGACTTCTCAAACTCAGATCCTGGATGAATTGGAGTATTTCCAAAGTGCACTTGCCAGTTTCCACCATCCTTGTCACTCCCACCTCAAGGTCAGAATGCAAGGATGTTCTGTTTTTGCACAATCCTCATGTCCCGCCTTCTTGGGTGACCTGGAAGACACCACCATTTCTGTTACCATTTCTTCTGTTCTAAGAGTCTGAGTGTTGACATATGTGAAAGCTTCCTGGGAATCAGTTTTGCTACGTGGCCCATGGCTTCCCCCTCTCTTTTTCTCTCTTCACTTACTGTCTTTGCATGCTGGGATTCCTCTAGAGCCTTGGCAGACTTGATGGGCTCCCTTCAGAATTCTGAGAGGTAGAATCCTCATCAGTCCCTAAAACTCACCCAGGGGATGTTTGCTGCCAGAGAAGATGCTCAGGGTTGCTCATTTCACTCAGACTCACAGACAAGGTGGATCTTTATCTGGAAGAGAGGACGAAAATGAAGATACATGGTCCACCAGACAGCAACCACCTCTTTAAGTGGGGTTCCAAACTGCTTAAGATCTTTGCCAGCTCCCTGCTTTATCAGGAGAAATAGCCCTATCTTCTCAAGGCTTGGTCTGATCCTGGATAAGGCAAGAGGAATATAACTGCATATAACATGAATAGATTCCAAGCTCATGTTTTTTAAAAAATTTAATGGGGAAGGAGGGAAATAGAGTTTGAGAAATGGCATTAGACACAGAAAACAAGACGTTGTCCCTATCATGTGTCCCACTGTGGCTTCCCTGACCTATTAAGGACACTGGCTTGAATTTCTTTCCCCAAATAATGTCTTAGAGACCTTGGACAAACCGCTTGATCCCTATGTTTCTTGGTTTCTTCCTCAGCTAAATGGTGAAGCTGGAAACCCTGTGATGAGGGTAAGGTAGCAGAGATCAGGGGTGACAGTCTATATAGTGTGCCTTCCCTTGGCAAGATATGAAAAGGTATTCAACTGGAAAGGGATATTATTGCTGGGTCACTGGGAGCCACACAGGTGAGGAAGGCTGAGTGTCCAGGCTTGCATACCAGCCTCTGCTCACAGCCACATCTGGGCTGATGGATGAAGCCTTCTTGGCAGGGCTCCCTTCTTGCCTTCTTCCCTCCCCATGTCAGAGTTTTCACTTGGGGGTTCTACCATGCTTGGGGAAAAGAAGTTTTACAGGTCCCAGGATAATTCTGAATGTGATGAAGGGCCCTGAGCTATTGATTCCTAAGGAAGGATCTTTCTGCTGGGAGAAGCCTTCCTCAGAGCCCAGTGATTTAAGAGTGCTGACAAATCCCTGCTCACTGAGCCTTCTGCAGGCTGCAGATACAGGCTTTGGGGCCAGCGTGGACTCTGCGAGGGATTTCTGGAGAGCCTGACTGGTTACTTAGGGGACATAAACCTGTGAACTCTCCGTAGGAGAAAGTATGAAGTCAATTGGTTCGTTATCACACCAAACACACTGTGGACCACTTAGGGCGTTTAAGAACCAAGAAGTAGCAAAGGAGTATGCAGAAAGTATGCAGAAAGGTTTGAAGGGGTTGAGTAAGAGGAGGGGACAAGACTTTTTTTTCCACTGAACTGCTCATGATCTAGACCTTACTGAAGTCCCCAGACAGTGACTAAAGAGGTTATTTGGCAATGTCTGGAAACATTTTTCTTACAATTGGATTAAGGGATGCTACCAGCATCTAGTTGGTAGACACCAGGAATACTGCTAAACATCCTCCAAAGCCCTGGGAAGCACCTTCAACAAAGAATTATCTGGTCTCAAATGTCCAGAGTGCATTGAGAACCCCTGCGTAGGGCACTGCAGCACAGAATCACAGCACGTTAGAGGTGGGAGAAATTTTGGAAATGTTTTCACCCAATTTTCCCATTTCACAGCTGAGGACACTGAGAGCCAGAGAGGAGAGGGAACCAGCCAGGGTTACAACAAATCAGTGGCAAAGCTAGCCTAGAACTCAGATCTGCTCTCCTGAGATGAACTTACCCTCCCCCAATGCACACACAAAGTTGTTGTGAAGATTAAATAGGAACTACAAAAACACTTGAAAATTATAAGAAGACTATTATTAATATTGCTATTGCTATGAATTTAAGAGTTTGGAAAGTTCTATTTCTGGCTGTGTCACTGACTCATTGTGTAATATTGAACAAATCATTCCCCCACCCAATACCTCTCTGTGCAAGTGTGTTGTGGGAGGTGGTCTCTTAGCAAAAGATAAGTGTATCATAATCATAATCATAATCATAACCTTTAGAGAAAAGTCCAAAGGTTTGCCCTTCAAAATCCTTAGACACTTAAAAAAAAAGAAAAATTTTCCTTGAAAGAAACCATGTTGACTTCGTAAGCAAAGCGTTTACTCTTGGAAAAATTCCAGTCCCCTGGCCCTGTGAGTTGGTTCCAGCCCAGGAAATCTGATCAACATCCGGAGGAGAAACTGATAGCTCCACAAATGCCAAGCAACTGGATTTGTCCCCACTCCCTCCGGGTAGGAGAGAGAGTGATTTCCCTGCCACCCTTTCCTGCTCAACCTCCTGGCACAGGGAAGTTCTGCAGGAACCTTCAGTGAAGGATGGGAAGGCGTGTCATTAATTAGTAAAACCTTGTTTACTTAACAGACATATTCTTAAAGATCTCTTCCAAGGGACATTTTGACATATTACTTTAATTAGCTACAGAAGAATACAGAGTGCAGAGAGTATAAAATGACCCTTGCTGTTGTTTCCAGTTACTCTTATCTTTGTTTGCACCTGACAAACAGAGTGACAAGGTCATGGAATCACTGGAGTTCAGGGACTGTCCTGGTGAAGAGAGGAGGGGCTGCAGGGACCTTTCCCCTCCCTCACATCAGCCCCCACCTACCTAGAGCAGCCACCTTGGTGGAGATTTCTGTGTTGGCTTCTCACCCTCCTTTGTTGTATCTGACATAAAGGAACCACCATGCCCTGCAAATTCTGGCTCAGTTCTCAAGAGGGAAATGGGCCTGGGCTGGATCATGAGCTCTTTAGCATTGGTGGGGACAGTTGAGTAAGGGTCAACCATGGTTTTGTCCTCCTAGTGCTCAGGATTGGAGGTAGGAGGTTGCATGACCCTCCTACCATCACACACACACACACACACACACACATACACACACACACACACACACACACACAGGACTAAGGTTGTCTCTCTCCCTCCCTGAGTCGGGGAGAGGGTGGGTTACTACTTAAATCCCTGCCTTGAATGCTCTGCAGGTTCTGAGGCAGGTTTCTTAGCCTCTGGAAGTCAGTTCCTGTAATCTGAGGAGTTGGGTGACAGGCCCTTTCCATCACTGCGGTTTCTTTCTGTAAGTGAAGTTGTCATCACTTTCACCCTAGTCTCTAAGAACCGCCTGTTTCAGAAATCATAACCATGTTCCTCTCATCTAAGAGGTGCTATATCGCTGCAGACAGCAAAATAAGAGTCCCCAAGAAAGATACTGCCTGCCAAAAGTGAGGGAAGCACTATGTTATTGTTCTCAGCTACAAATTCAGCCCCTCACATGGTGATTGGCATCTGGAAGGGCTCAACAGGTGCCTGCTGTGTGAACAAATGAAGAAGGGGATGTAGGTAGCCATTCTGGGGCAGAAGTGACTGTTGGTATTAATGTGGGTATCGAAGCCAGCCTTGGTTGGTGAGGCCTGCTTCCTTTCTAGCTCCTTCCTCGAGCTGGCTTTTGGCACCAGGGCTGGGTAAAGTTCCACTACCCATTGATCAAGCAGGACCTGAGGACCCCATGCAAGGTTTACCCCATGAAATGGAGTCCTGCCCAGAGCCTTGAGCATGACTGAGTTTGTCTTCCTCTTCACTGTCCTCAGCTGCTTCCACCTCTGTTCCCTTCCTCCACCCCCCAGGTGACTGTAAGAAAGCTTCATGCAGCTTCATCTTGCTTTAAGCTGATGGAATAGATGAAGATTTGGATTTCCACTGAAGACAAACTAGGGAGTGAATCATTGTTTCACAGAAAGATTCCCAGGAGGATGCTTTTAAATAGCAAGGTCCACTAATGCATTTTAAATGATTTAAGGAAAAAACCTGACCTGTAGACTCTTAGTCCTGGAAAAAAATTTGGAGGTCACCTAGTGGCCTGCCCCACTCCCACCCCAGGCTGTTCAGATGCTCTGGGATGCTGTCATTCACTGTTCAGCCCATCAGTCCTGCACACTGCTGCCCCCAAACTGAAATGCCCTTTGGAAAATGCAAGTCTGGTCATGTCTCTACCTGACTTCACAACCTCCCCCACGGGATGACTGCAGGCTCCTTACTTTGTCCTAGCAGGCTCTACATGCCCCAGATGCCACCTCCAAGCAAGGTTGCATCTCCTTCCTTCCTTCCCTTTATGCTTCCCCCTGCACACCGTATCCCATCGCTGCATTCCAGCCACAGCAACTGCATTCGCAGCATGCACCAAGCTGTCTCACATCCATGCCTTTGATCCATAGGTCTTTGCCACCTGGAATCCCAATTCACCTGCTCTAGAGAGCATTTTCTGCTTTCCTTCCCACCCCCTCACTTGTTAATCCCTCCCTCTTATGAGTTGCATCGAAACTTTTTACCTGCTGTTACTCTGAACTTACCACATCATGTTGTGTCAACTGTCAGCTTCCTGAGGTCAGGAACTACACCTGGTTCATTAGATATAACCTGGCCAGCAGGCATCTGAATATACTTGAAGAATATATTCTGAATATATTTGAAGAATGAGTGTGTGTGTGTGTGTGTGTGTGTGTGTGTGTGTGTGTGAAAGTATACTGAGGGGCTCTGCATTTGCAAAGCAGTGTTTAAGGAGTCAAAGAACTCCACTGGGGTCCCTACATAAATTAATAACAGAGGCAAGCCTATTTCTCAAAGTCTTGCAGTCCAGAGCATTCCACTCACCATTCGACAGCTCCTCTTGGAAGGGGAGCACCTACGTGCCGGGGCACCATCTCCTGAGATGCATTAATTCAGTTAGCAAACATTTATTTCTAGTAGACATAGCACGATTGTTGTCGTCATTACCTACCATGTGCGGGCTTTCTCTGTGCCCAGCACTATGCTCAAAAGTTAACATGAAGCAATCTGATTTCATTCTCACAGCAGCCTGAGAAGCCTTCATTCCCATTGTACAGAACCAGAAGGCTGAGCAATTAATAACACTTATGAATCTACTATGCCTTGAGCATAAGCCAGGAGACTCCACGTGTCCTCTTGCTTCCAGAAAGACCATTTCATGTTAGCCTGGTAGTTTCTGTGGCACCGCCCAGCCTAAGCCCTCTGAGCTTTCTTCTGCCTTTTTCTGGAACAAAACCAAGTCTCCTGTCTGAGTGTTGCTTCCAGTGATGTCTAGATCTCTCTCCAGGTAAAGGGAAAAGGCTGAAGCCTTATTTTCTTGGTGCTGGGGAAGACGCATAAGATATGCATAGGGTAGGCACCTTCTGGTGGT